ATTGTCATAGTAAGAATTAAAGTTTTTTGTCTAATCCCATGTTTCACCGTGGAAAAGTCAGGCTCGGGCGGTATATTGTTGACAGATGGAACGCTCCATAAGTTCATTGTTCACTTTATTTACAATTCGTACAAATGTCAGACCTAATCAATTACAGTGCATTGGATATATTCATTTTAATATTATTTTATTTGTTATACTTATAAATCAGAAATTTTCAGGTCGTCAAGGATTGAAGTACAAAACTGACTAACTATTATTTTATATTTACTCAGCGTTGTTGAGTAATGTTTTTTGAATATTAATTCAATCAATAAAAATAACAATACAGGTATGCCCGCGGGCAAAATGCGGCCCACAAAAAAGAATTGTGCGGCACGCGGAGAAATGCCAATTTTGAATGGCACAATTTTGAAACTTGGAATAGAAAAACGAATTCCATTGAACGCACAGAAATGTTTGAAATAATAAAAGTCATAGCTCTCTAGCGACAACAACAATCTTTAACCACTAAAAATTTAAAAGCAATTGGTCCAGTACTTGAATTGAAAAGCGATGTTTTTCGAAAAAAGAAGAATATTGACAACAACGTTATAACAAAACTATCCATAGCTCCACTTCGTGTCCAATAAAACCAGTCATTTTTGCTGACGACTGTCTAGTCCAGGGCTACTCAACTGGCGGACCGCGGTCCGAATCCGGACCTTTCGATCATGAAATATGGACCGCTCTGCTTGTTTATTTTGGCAGTATAAGCATCGTTTCATAGTTTTAGATGATTTTGATACAATTTAAATACACAGCTATACAGCTTATCGTACTGGTACCGATGTGCGATATTATTTGTGTCCATATTTGCGAGCCATTCATTGCTCTTGTATTTAATTTAATATTGCATTTGAAGTTTCGTTTATTTGATGAAATAAATTTTCTGTAATGTCCGGACCCCAGTAATTTTGAAGTTTCGTAAACGGACCTTTGGTGAAAATAGTTGAGTAGCCCTGGTCTAGTCCACAAACTCTCATCCGTTGGAGTCAGCCCCGTAAATCTCCACTTTTCATGAGCGTGGCATTGCGAAATACTTGATGTAAATTTAGTTGGTAAAATACAATGTACAATGAACAACCAATCTGGAACCCTTGAGTCTTCTGACTTATCTACATTGGCGAAATAGGCGATATTTGCAAATTTAACTTTTTGCAAACTCAACCATTCGAAAGCTCAACTTTCCAATCAACGAAATATGGTAGGAATATCTGAAAGAATTATCATAATTGACTAAAATAACAAACATTTTTGAAATTGTTCAACTTAATTGAAATGGTTATTTATTTTACTAATTTAGGTATCACAAACTCAATCGTCAGCTACAAGAACAGCGAGATTCTAAGAATACAGCTGTTACAAGTATGGAAGCTGATGCAATTGAAATCAACGGAGGCGAGGCGGTATATAGCGTTGTTAATAAGCTGGCGAAAAAGAAGAAGACAGAGCATGAAGTTGTCGTTAACGAACTTTACAATTTATGAACACAATGGTTTTGTGGAAATTTATCCGACATATTAATGTGATACACAGCAGTGGTTCTCTAAACAGTTGGGCGAGCCCCCAAAGGGGTCGTAGACAATTTTTTTAAGGGCGTTCAACTAGTTGAAAATACAAATATTCATTAGATTTGATCCTGGTCTGCCTCATTTCGGCGAATTTAAAATAGAAATCTGCATCTTAGCCAAATCTTGTTGAAGAATTCGTAAACACGATTAAAACTTTTTATTTATTTCATCATTTACGTTTCATTAACGTATTTTCAACTTCTCGTATGAAACATAGTTTCGCCTAACCATCTGTTATTTATAGCTTAAGATTATCTAGTTGTTTTGGGGGTGGGGCGCGAGACCTGGCAAATGCTAAAAAGGGGGCGTGGCTCAAAAAGTTTGAGAACCACTGAATTATACTATTTTGCAATAACTATGTCCCAGAAATTATTGTCAATAACATGTTTCGTATCCCAGATCGTGACCAATTCGATCAGAGTTTGATAAAACCACGTCGTAGAAAAAGAAGACGGGGCATGAAGTTGACGTTAACGAATTTTACAATTTATAAAAAATTCGTCTCAGTGGAAATCTATGAAACATATTGCGATAAATGTATACTCTACTGCAATAATTATGTCCAAAAATCATTGCCAATATCGTCTGAGTTTAGTTAATTACTTCGCAAAGAAATCCGTTAGTATCGCAAATACTAAGTTTTAATCAGCTAAACGTTAGCAGCACCTTTAAACAGTACATACTGAAATAATAAAGCACCAACAAAACATGACTCAGATAAAAGCATGCAAAGTATGGCTCAGCTGACAAATTACAGTTGCCAGTAGACAGATAAAGTTAAGAATAACAATGTATGCAATACAAATTATATCAATTATTATAGTCGATAACAGGTTTTTCATCCACTGCCCGTAATTATTTCAAACTTATTTCAATGAAGCTTATTTGTACTTGGTGAAATAAACCTATGTGCGTTTTTTTTTTCTCATATTTGTTGGGATTTTTATTGATGCGGTATCTAATATTCATTTGAATATAGTTAGGTTATCAATTTCAACATACCAAGTATATTTTTAAATGCGCTACTTCGGCGATAGATTGCAGGTTTCATCGTGTCTTTTCGTGTAGAGCAGCCGCGTTGTTTGGTAAATGTATGAGTGAAAGACCCACAAGCTACGACTGCATTTTTCTTCATTTTGTTTGCTGCACTTTCGCCTGGTTAGTCTTGACGTAAACCTTTCCCATCCGCTTTCACAAAAGGTGAACCACTGGTGTAGTGGTCACCCAGACTATAAGTACCGAACAAGATATTCGAGTGTGTTATTTGCATATACTTTTTGTACTGTATACCATTGTTAGAGGTAACTAATTTTGTTCGCCTACTTTACATCAAGTTGTGTAAAGAGACTGAAACGTACGGACAGGGAGTATATTCACTTGACTAACACAGACAGTCCCCGAACTCGTAATAGAACTAATATAAGGAAAATCGGAATAAAATTATGGCCGAACCCTAACCTGGTATACACACTACGGGAGTACCGACTTACTAACTCTTGACACACTTCAATCATATAACATCGCCACTTCAGCCGTATAACATACAACATTCAAACTTAAACAGTACCACTCACCAAGACGGTGAATTACCAACTGCACCGAACATTTGTGAGCGCTTCGCATCGTAAATTGCAACCTCCCCACCTCGCCGAGGCACTGATTAGTATGTAGCGTGAGCCAGTTGAATGCAATTATGCAATTATTACACAGCAATTGTAAAACACTACGACCAGAAAGATGGCAATGACAGTTAAAGCAACTATTCCTCACTACGCATTTTACTTAAACTTCACTTGCTTTTTGACAGTGTTATTATCTTTCAAGCCCACACTTTCTCAAATGACTCAAGACAGGAAATACGTAAGCGGTCTATTGGTGTAATATAAACCATGCAATAAGAAAACAATGCGAAAATGTATAAAGTACATCTCATAGAATTATATTTTACTGACTGTTGCTCAAATTTAAATCAACAAATTTCTAATATATGTTTGCGGTGAGAGCACATTTACAACCGCATACACTCGTATCCAAACATTTACACCTGTGAGCTGCACCCAGGACATTCGCACGTGCTTACCACTGCACCAACCAACATGTACCCAACGTACATGTGTGCAAATGTCTATGGGTGCAGCTCAGAGGTGTAAATGTTTGGGTACGAATATCCATGGGTGCAAATGTTCATGGCTGCAATATGTATGTGGGTGTTGAAATCTACAGGTTTAAATGTATGAGCTCAATTGTTCATGGATGAAAAAATAGGCAGGGATTTACAAAATAAATACATTCACGTCAAATATAACCTTGATTAGATAATATTCAGTGTCACATATCGAATGTGGTGGTGTGGCGCCTCGTGATGGGGTGATGGGCATTAGGAATACACTCGCCACCGCACCTCTGATTACCCTGCGTGGGTTCGCAGGTTTGAATGCCATGCGGGGATAATTATGTATGACAAGAATGCTGAACTCCGTAGGGTAACCGCTGGTCGGGAGGGGCCATCAGGTCCATGCATCTGAAAACAAATCACTGACTCACTAATCCCATACCCGACATGGACTGGTAACCGGACGAGAGACCGTGCTTCGCCAAATGATTAAGCCGTCCTATCGACTTTCCTCTTCCTGGATAAAAAATGTAAATCCTAAATGTTGTTGGTTATCAAAAAAAACTTTGGTTTTGAGCAAGGTGTATACAAATACCATATTGTGGTCTCGACTCGACCCAATTACAATTAATATAAATAAATATACAAGATAACAAAGCTCAAATAAATTACTGGCACAGTTACTGTAGCTGAACGCAGAATTTGCTCAAAATAGCAGAATGCATTGTAAACCATATTTCATAAAAAATGTTCCCATGGTTAAAAAAAACAGAAAATTTTGAATTAAATAGAGAGACCCACAGGACTCAGAAGAAAAAATTTGCGGCTGCAACCATCTTTGGATACTGAATATTTGATCCATTAAAAATGGTTAAAGTTGAGGAGGAAAATGTGATTTATTTGACTAAAACTGAGAACAAGAATTAAAAAAATTAAAAATCCCTATGTACATTTTCTGTCCGAACGAAGTAGGATAGCAATGGGTGGATGCACGACAAAATAAAATAAACGAAAAGTCAAATACTTTCAACGTCGGGGCTGGCGTTACATAGTTTAATTTAGTGTTTTCCCCATAACTAATGGAAGGAATAACAATTTGCATATATGGTACAAGAAAAAAACGATAAATGGATGTAAGTGTATATTATTCATTTTATGCTACCAAAGAATATATACCGGTATATGTATATATGGTGTCCATAAAGTCTTATATATTTTTTTTAAATTGCAAATAAAATTCATCGATACTATATATTGTTTTGGTCCTTACAAAATGGAGTAAAAATGCTCAAACAACTGATTAAAAAACAACAAACCTGGTGAAAATATATTGAGAATTGAATTCATACCAAAATTAAATTATTAAGCAACTGAATGGACACCCTGTATATATACCTAATGTTAAAACTACTACTACCTATCTATAAGTTACTAACTAAGAAGCCATATTGTAAAGCTGATTCACAACAGTCTCTTTCTCAGTTGCGTCACCTGGTTTGTCCACTGTGTGGTAAATCGTGTCAGGGTTGATTTCTCCATCGCACTGCATGGTTGATTCGTATTGGTTACTTGGCAGGGTAACCATTGTGTTGGTAACATGGCCATCAATGACCGCTTTCTTCCTGAACCTGGAAATTGATATGCGTATGGTAAAGCCAATATCTGCTTATAATTGGATCTCCACCACAGGAGACCCTTATTCTCAGTCATTCTGTCTGTGTATGTGTATGTCTGTTTCTTTGGATGATAATCGCTGGCTTGAGAGGAAATCCTGGGCGCCTACCGGCTTGTATTAATATTATCAGAGTATTTGGTATTGAATGTATCTCCGCGACCATATAGATAGTGAGTGAACTCATGTTATTATTCATGTTATTTATTCAACAAATTTTTATTAATTCTTCAATTTGGTCATTTCTAAGCACTATGTACTACTATAAAGTCAATTACTAAATATTGCATAAATGAAATTATTACGTCCAGACGTGTATTAGCATTCGATTTTTCGGCTTACAAACCTGAAGAAATTTGAAATTAAATTTTCAATATCTCATACAGTGTTCAGTGCGTCACCCAATAAATTCTTCATAATTTATGATGAATTAAGTTTTCTTAGTTTGAACTAATCCACCAAAACCATACTAGGAAGTTAATCATTAGAATTTTCTAAGAATATCCATCCAAACCATCAACGTTTGGTGTGTGTTGAATCAGTTTTATACAATTCGGGACTATTCTGATGAGAATCTAATTCTGAACCAGAGCTCGAACCTAAGTCATATAGTCAAATCAAACTTACAACGATAGTGGGACGAGCACGTTTTTGCTAGTTTTTCACAGGTTTTCACTGTTATTAATGATTTTTCACTGTTTTTTGCACGTTTTTGCAAAGTTTTTTGGTGATTTTGCACGTTTTGGCCAGGTTTTCGGTGTTTTTATTGTCGTTTTTCAGTGTTTTTGCAAGATGTTTGACGATTATTGACGACTTTTTCACGGTTTTTGAATGTTTTTACAAGGTTTCACATAAGTGGACCAACTTACCTTCTTATTGCAACGGCAATCAGTATTGCTGATAGAAGTCCACAAATTATTCCAAAGGCAATTGCTGCTCCAACAGCGCCAGAATCATCCTGTTTTTTATTTACTGTGCTTGTTCCTGTATGGGGCATGGTGGAATAGGAAAACATTTACATTAATTAATTTAAATTAATCTTTGGTCATTGTCTGACTCATATTTGTAGAGAGCAGATAGGATTACAAATATTTAATTGAATGGCAGTCGAAACTTGATTGTAGGCGTTCAATAATGCCGCACAATGACGCAAAGATAGTTCTTTAGATCAAGAATCGCCTTTATTTTTTGCTCAAGTAATCTCATAATCTAATGCCACAAAGGCCAATAAAACAATATACATTTAGTCTAGGTCTAGGATAACTTCAATTCCTGTTTTTTTTTTATGTTGCGGGCTTATAGGAGTGCACCAATACAATATTTGACGTCATACGCAGCACATATAAGCAAACTTTACGATAGTGACCTGTTCATACGATGAAGCTTGGGCTGTGAGATTTTAGCTAGGAGTTTTTTCAATGATCGAAACACTTACCGCCAACATTATCGGAAGACACAGCAAACGTGTAATTGAGCTGGAACCCCCAAGCATAATAAGTATCCGAATACTTCTTAAAATGTATCATGATTGGCAAAAACTCCTGTGATCGTATTAGCGTTGCTAATCTGCATCTCTTGATAATAGTTGGGTCGACAGCAGTTGCTTTCTTTGATGTCACAAGGATACATAGCCCATGGTTATATGAACACAATTCAGCACCGGAATGAAAGGCTGAAAGTACGATTTGAAAACTTCATGACTATCAAATAGGACTATAAAAAACAAACTGATAAATAAAACGAAAACTCTGGATTACTTTGTTTTAATGTTTCGTTCGATTGCAAGGATTCATTATTTGAAAGAATCAAACATTTTATATTTTGACAACGCGGTCAAAAATCGTGAACCAATGTGTGACATGTTATGAATTTGAAGCAAATTTATACTTTGAATGGTTTGTACATTTTACTTCTTAGAGGCGGTCACACTCTTTTAACTTTAGACCAGACTCTGTATAAGGAGTCACTGACATGTAAGTATTACTATTTTGTTACATAAATACTATTTTTAAAATAAACAAAACTTTCCTCTATGGCATAGAGTCTATGCCGTGCGTAACACGGTCAGCACCGGAGCAGTTCAATTCAATATCTCAAATAGCACCTCATAGATAACTTAGAAAAGGTGAGCTAGTACCTGATATTTTAAGACTGCCATAACAAGAATGAGAATGCGGTTCTAAGTTCATCTGAACAAGATGAAACAAAATCACGCTGTTTTTGATAGTGCACTCATTTGCTGTCAGTTTCCATTTCTTGGTGATTTAATTTTTCCCGTGTAAGCCAAACTTTGAGTTTGGTTTTTGCATAAGTCGATTGCATCATATGTTTCAGCACACACTTCGTTTAGTATGACACCTGTAATGAATCCATACAATCCAGTGATTGAAAGATAGTGAAAAATATCCAAACGGAGAATTATTTAATATTTGGAAAACCAAGGTAGCGAAAGAATACTCTTGACTTTTGTACAAAGTCCCCGCCAACGCTCAAAATAAGAAAAATAGTAATTTTTCAGTTAGGGTTTGGGTTAGAAATGTAGTTGCGGGGGAAATTCAAATTTCCAAATCATACTTAAAAGCCCAAATGGATAATTACTAATTTGTTCTTTAAAAACAGGGCGGGGGGTAAGTTTCTCAAATTTCACAATTTTGCATTAGTGTCGGGGGCTTTGTACAAAAGATCACATACTTTATTCAATTTACACAAAACCAAATATTATGTCGCCATCGCAAATTCTGCTTCATCCGATTTATTCATTACTATTACAGTTCTTTCGCATTATAATATCTTACCATATATGATTATTTGAAAAAAATAGCAACTGGTATTCACGTTGATTTCCGAAGAAAACCTTCAAAATGCGCACTGTTTCTTCATTCTAGTTATTTATACCTATCGTATTTATTGCGAGAACAAATCTATAAACTATTCAAAATATGCAGGGTGTCCATAAAGTTCCTTTATAATTTCAATTTTGTTATGAAGTCAGTTCTCAATATATCTTAACCAGGATTGTTGATTTTAATCAGTAATTGTTTAAGTATTTTTGCTTCGTTTAATACATCTGTAAGGGCCAAAACAATATATGATATCGAGAAATACCTTTTGCAATTTCAAAGAATCCTAAGACCCCATGGACACCCTATAAATTACATATTGGAAAAAATAATGCATACCAAGCTATTGCATACCTGTCAACAGGAGAATCCACTTCAAAATCATTTTAATGCAGCTCCGAAATCAACTAAAGCAAGAAATCAAATCTAGGTAGTACAGCACTATGCACAATACAACAGCCTGTAGGAGCGCGTTAACACTAAACACGAGTGAACGCTTTTCCGCTAGAACTACGTATCTATGTGCTATAATAACATTGTGTGGGGATGTATCATATACAATGTATGCTTACCAAATTGCATCAGCACTACGTATTTCCATTATCAGCCAATGGTCATACATTGATACATAAAAACATAAACTGTTCCCCACTTCTGGGTCAACCTTTAACCTTGATGTGTTACGTATATTACAATCAGTAGTGTTTCATACTTATTAGTGATTCATTCACCTAGTCATATGATATTAGCAACGTAACAATGATGTATCATTCTTTATTTAAACCTGACGCCACTTCCTTCCTTCTGTGATGGCTTCATTACATGGAAGATAGAGGTTAAATAGATTCACTAGGTTGCTTTACTCAATATAACCAAATTCATGAACATTAGGCCATATAATTGTATAAAATATATCATGTGTTCAGAACAATGAAATTCATGTTTGGTACTTTTGAAAATTGAAAGTGGGAACCAATTCAATTCCCAGCTAGCCGGAGTCGAATGGAACATTTACCACTTCGTGCCGATAGACAATGCGCCTATGAGGAACATGGTTTTATTCAGCTCTCAGCGCTTAAATAGGCGGTTCCCAACCTTTTATGGCGCGTGGCCCCCTTCCAGATATTTTTAGCAGTCATGGCTCCCCTGTTTGTCATCACAGTAGTATTTAAAGTGGAGTTTTTATTGGTAAATTCCGAATCCCATTAGGTTCAAACAATTCATGCTCAACAAGGTGGAAAACCCTGTGAAATAATCTTATCAAGCAATGAAACTAGGAAGAACGGTGAGTTCTTTTATATAGAGGAAAGTAAAATTAGTTTAGCGCTCCGTCTGGGAACCGCGGGCTTAAATTGTAAATTGATCCGACTCTAAGATTGTGAAAATCTGGTTTTCACGGGTCCGAATTACATTTTCATGGCATTTTATCAAACCTAATGCCGAGCTTGGCCGGCTCAATTCACAATTTCACCCTAAAAAAATATCATGGATATTTGAGAATTTCTGTGAAAGCCTCCAACGCAAAACTGGTTGCTAAATAATAATTACATGGACGTCAATCAATCCATTCACCTACATTTCCGTGTTCAAATATTACTCTGGTTATACAAGCGTTACGACAACACTGATGCGTACAAGTTGTGCATGCCATTATGTGATGCATAACTGGATGAGTTATAAAAAAGTTGGCAGAGTGGTGGATGTAGAATACCTTAAAAACGAAAACTTTGTTTGCAATTTCATTGAGCAATTTCTCGTCTGGAAACCTGAGCAAAGAAGAAAACCTATAAGTTGGACGATGACAAGATATTTTGCCTTGTATATCTTAACTGTTAACTTCGGTAAGTAAGTTGATAAAGACGTTTCAGAAGAGGAGTACTGGTGAATGCAATGAATATTGGGTCACAAAGTCTGCTAACAATGCAATAAATATTATATTTTTTGATACTTAGGTTGAGTCGCGAAGTATTTCATCGCGTAGGACAAGTATGTGGGACCTGCGCCCCGCGGGCCCTATGCGGCCTTTGGGGAAAATCTATGCGGTCCGCGGAAAAGTGCCAATTTTGAATGATGTGCGGCTCTCTAAACGAGTATTTAATTTAATTTTGTACGTATGTCCATTAACTCCCTTTATACCTTCAAATTCGTTATGAAGTCAGTTCCAATATATATTAACCAGGATTGTTGATTTTAATCAGTAATTGTTTAAGTATTTTTGCTTCGTTTAATACATCTGTAAGGGCCAAAACAATACATGGTATCAAGTCCCTTTGCACTGCAAAACCTATACCTGAGTTCAATTTAGCTATGCCCATGACTTTACAATGCTTTAGAATCTGGCATGTGCGAACAGCACCTCAATAACGAACATTTTGTGATGTTAAATAATGGTGCGGCCCGCAGTCTCACCCAGTTATTTCTATCTGGCTCTTCTGCATTAAAGGTTGCACACCCCTCATGTAGGAGATTCACGCTACAGGTCCAACTACACACTTTCAATTCGGGTTTCAATTTATTCAAATAGAACCAAAGGGTCTATAGGCCAGAATCTTTCAACCAAATTACATCTCGTCCAAATATTTTGTATTTCAATAAGGGGTAACGAGTCAAAATAATAAAATAGGTCGTAAGGGTAGTGATAAAAAGGCTTTCCTACAAACCATTTGCGTAATAAAATGTGATGTAATGCTGTAAGTGAAATGTTTAATATTTTTTATTTAATTTTGAAAATGAAGTTTGAATTGAGTTTCTACTGATATCAATAATCTCAATGTTTGGATTTAATAATTTCATAAAATTATATTATTTCATGAGTTCTTGTAAAAATGTAAGATTTTATCATTTTAAAGTATTTCGGAGTTTTTCCTTTTATATTTGACGAGGAAGTTTATCAAAGCCTATTTTTAACGATTTCACAAATATTATTTTTATTTTAGTACATTTGAAGTATGGTGTCTTGTCCGCATGCACGTCCGAGAAACCAATTGTTCTATTGCCACCAAATGGCAACATGACTTCACCAAATTATCCTGGCAATTTTGCTTATAGTCACTGTCGTACGTGGATTCGACCTCAAACTAATTGGTCTCTCAATTCAGCATTGCTAATTCGAGTTGTGAGAATTTCTTTGATAGACCTGACAAATAATAAAAGAAAACGAGTCTTTGGAGAATTACTCATTGGAGGTCAGTGTAAAAAACTTGGAGAAAATATTCGATACAATTACAACGTATTTCAGATTTACCTTTTTACTGTAAGATTAATCAAATCTTCGCTCCGAACACGGCTGCGTATCAGCAGATATTGGCTACTGTGGTACTATTATCGCATACAAATTTCGCTATTCCGATAGTATGTGTACCAGGTTAGGCTTAGACCATGATTTTTCTTATTTGAGTTCTAATACGAGTTCCGGGACTGTCTGTGTTAGCCAAGTGTTAGCCCACAGGTTTCAGTCCCTTTGCACAACTTGATGTAAAGTGGGCGAACAAAATTAATTACCAGGTATTGGTATTAGTGTACCAGGTTAGAGTTAGGCCATATTTTTATTCTGATTTTTCTTATTTTGGTTCTATTACGAGTTCGGGGACTGTCTGTGTTAGCCAAGTGAATACACCCACGAGTAGGTGAACAAAATTATTTACCTCCATATTGGTACACACTACCGGAGCGCCTAAATTTTTTACAAACTGAGTAAGAGTGCTGTCTTCGACTGCGCAATGGTATGACCAACACTAAACCTCAATTTTCGTACCCGTGGCTGCTTGTAAAGATCCTAG